ACAACAGAAAGAACTGCTTGGATTCCAGATTGGTTTGCTGATTTCCCAACATACCTATACTTCTGTTTAAATCCACCAAGGAGTTGTACCACTCATCAATCTCAGCTCGTGTGCTCTTTGGAGGCAACAGATCACTATCAAAATAGGAAACAATATATCAGATCTCTTCAGAGATAACCCAGTCAGTTGTTAAAGGATAGACACTATAAATCAGCATAACCAGGCTACTCTGCTTTATTTACAGCCATTTCAGCAACAAAAATAAAACAAGATGGATGCTGTTTTTCAAGGCCTCTGTTTACCAACAAGGAATTAAACCCCCATTTTTTCCTGTGTCTGTTATAAAAGAAAAACTGCATCTGAAGATCACAGTGTTGCACCCAACCCATCTTATTTTTGTCAGAATGGACAGAATTCAAAAGCAGCAGAATAAGATTCCTTCCAACATTCATTTCTTCACACATTACACAAATCAGTCTCCCGCCCAGAAATTGGACAGCATCATCCATTTTTACATGTTCACCCATCCATGTCCACCTCTTCCTACTAGGCTTCATACATCAGTAAGGCTTACTTTGGTGTTGCTGCATTTCTCACCCTAGATAGCCCCTTGGTAGTGCAACACGTGCACTGAAAACCAAAACATAGTTGTTGTTCTTTTTTTCCCCATTAAAAAGAGCTTTATGGAAGAGATTTAAGCCCTGCTCACTGCTGCACTGGACAACAGCACATTGAGGTGCAGCAAAGAACATTCAGCACATCAAAGACTAACAAGGATGGCTTGGGTTGGAAGGGCCCTTAGAGGCCACCCAGCTCCATTTCCAGTCATGGGCAAGGTTGCCACCACCAGTCCCTCATTGAGCACACCAAGAATTCTACTTTTGTTACTGTACTCCCTTCAGTCATACATAAGATGGTGCAGCCATTCCAGCCTCTGTTCATTAAGCAGAATCTGACCATTCATCATATTTCCCTTTTCTGTTTCCACCGTTTGGGGATTCTGTATTTCTTCCTTTGCCATAAATTCTCTGTAGGATGGAAGAACGCACTGATGTGATTTTGTGTTGGGAAGAACTGAATGCTTGAAACACAAACACAAAATACGCCTTATGAGTACTGGTTGAAAACAAAACCACTAAATTTTTAGTTTCATTGGGGAAAAATATTAAAATACTACTTCTTGGAGAAAACATGAAAGAACACCAGTCACTTCATGCTTCAAAATGTGACCTGCTGTCAAACTTCAGACCTGAAGCTCTGAACGATGCGGTTCTTTTGGATGAGCCTCCAGTCCTTGACTTTATCTCGCCACTTCCATTGAAGTGATAATTCCCTTTTCATCTCTGATTTCATCAGATTAAAGAACAGCTTGGCTATTGCCCTCTGATTCGCCAACAACGCTCTGTTAATCATCTGCGTATGAAAACAAAGATGGGAGTAAAAGCAGTATAAGACAGGAATAAAGTGCCAGCTCGATGTCAGACTGAGGATGAAGAACTGAAAAGACGAGGGACATGCAGTATAGAGACCCCTCTCCTACATGGCAGGGATTGGCAGGTAGAAATGATCATTTCCTTTTGAAAATGAGAAGAAGAAAGAACTGAATTCTGGGGGGTGAATTTCAGATTGCTGTCTTCTTACAGGTAAAACTGCCTCCCAATAAGGAGAGCTTACCATGGCCTCGTCATTAATGAGCCTGTGCACATCGGCTGACAAGAAGAAGGAAATTCCCTCCAGCTTTGCAGCATACTTCCTCAGCACGTCTGTTATCTGTTCAACAGAACCAAAAAGGCACAAAGGGCTCTGTAGAACAGCTTGCCTTAGAGAACTGACACTTCAATGATATTAATAAGAATTGGGGCTCTTTTTTCCCCAAATAAATTTAATTGGTTGACAGATCGAGAAGTAAATATTAAAATATTGATTCTAAATTATTAGATACCAATTCATAAAAATAACCAAAAATCAATCGGTTTTGTTACTATTTGACTGATTTCCTTCTGGTGCCTGCAATTCCTGAAAATCTGAGCTCACTTTGTTAGCTCGGCTCTGTTCCACCTTCTTTAAGGTTTCATCCCATTCCCGAATCCACTCCTTTCTGGTCAGGGATTCCTGCTGAATGGTTGCCCACAGTTCTTCCAAATCCTGCAAGAAGGATTTACTCTCAATCTCAGTGAAAAAATGAAAACAAATGCATTGACATCAGAAAACTGCAGCAAGGTGCTTTGCTGTGCTGCAGAGCAGACTGTGAACAACAGGAATCAACAGTGGAAGAGCTGACAGTGGCAAGAACTGCCTTACCTCAATAGAAAAGCCTTCAGGAGTGCCGTTGAGCTCCATCTTTGTTAGAAGAACCTCCATTTTTCTATCAGATTCCATCAGTTTCATCAAAAGCAGTTTTCCAGGCTCCAAAACAAAGGGCTCAATTTCCTGAAAGCAGTAAAGAAGTCGGCCCCATCTCCTGAACATCAGGCTCTCAGCTTTGCCTACTGATCCAGACTGTCTGCACTGCCAACACCAGCCTCACCCTGGAGACACGAGCAAACTCGTGGTGCATTGAGGTCAGTGCTGCATCGTGGCGGCTGCGCCGGCGTTCTGACACAAGCTCCAAGAGGTTTTGCCTGCTTTCCTCTGCAACCTCTGAGAAGAAAAGGAGGACGATGGAACTTAGAGCTGTTTGGAACAAGAAATTGCTAAATCAAAGCTCTGAGCTCTTTTGGCGTGAGGCTGGAAAACAGCAGCTCCCACGAGTTAAATCTGCTTATATCATCACTACCTTCTGAACACTAATTGGAATTGATGGACAATTTCACTTCTTTTTCTTCCCTACACGCAGATTCTTCACTGCCAGAATTACGTACAAATCATTATAAAACACATCAGATCGTTTCTGAACTCGATATTATACCTTCTCCAGCTCAAGATGTTATACATATGGGGGCTCCTCAAAATGAAACTATAGGACATTAAAGGAAATAGATTTTACCAACAAGATCAGGGAGGGCTCTGACTTCCTCAGCTGCAATGACATCTTCACTTTCGCAGGACTCCTGAGATGCTGTAGCTTCTCTGAAACAGAACATAGAGCCTTGCTTTGTACTGAGACCACAGGTTTGTAATTAGCACCATACTCCACTTATCTGGCAAAATGTAACATTAAAGTGAAGGAAAGCTTCTAGCTTCAAAGAATATGGCTCATAGAATTAATGGCATTGCTTCTCAAATGGAAGGAAAAGGCTTTTACCTGCCCCCCCCCCACTCTCTCTCTCAGGGAATGGCATTTACCTGCCCCCCACTCTCCCTATCAGGGTGTTGTGCTTCTACTTGGGAGTACTGGGGAATGAGGGTGTGCTTATTCAGCACGAGGGTTATGGTGTAAAGGATGAAGGCATTAATTTACTTTCTTGCTTCTGAACATTGCTCAGAGTAGAGCTGAGCAGTACTACTGCTGCAAAGTACCTGTCCCCACTAATACAAGGCTCAAGTAGACTAAACTGAAGGAAACAGTTCTCAAACATACGGGAAACTAATCTAGTTAAGAGTAACAATATAATTGCATAGTCATTTAAAACCATTAAAAGAGCATAAAATATAGTTCAATAGTATATTTTACTGTATTACTGTTAAGTACAGCAACAACAGCAGAGCAGAAAGGTCCCAGGCTAGAGCAAGAGAGAATTTGCTCAAATGCAACAGCCATGGGCACAGAAATAAAGGAAAGAAGCTGTTTGCCTTCAGAAGGCCTCAGTGCACAGGGATCTCCAGCAAGAAATCCTCACCTCCACTGCCAACCCTTCAATGAGGTCTGGGCAGGGGTGGATCCTGGCTCCAGCCCTTCTGGTTACCCAGTGCATTGAATAGACCTGAGCTGCCCTGGGTTGGCTCTGCTTCCCACCAGGTGCTCAATCACTGCTTCAAGCCCTGACTTAGCATTTCTGCTAGAGTTACATGTATCAGGTGGTATCAGGAATACAAACAGGCTTACAGCCAGGTGGTATTGAACAACAAAATAATCATCCAAGAGCCTTTTATAAGAAAAGTCACACACACGTAAATCATTACAGACATTTGATGGGCTGATGGTTGGACTAGATGCTCTTAGTGGCAGTTTCCAGCCTTAACAATGAGCTGAGAATCTGTGCTTTAAGAGGCAGCAGCTCAGTGCACTCGTTTCACATCTGAGGGAAAGGAGGTAGACTGTCACAAGCGCCGTGACCAAAAAACAAGGTTCCCAGCATTACAACTTCACACCCATAGCCACAGAATCACACCGACGTGCAATCAGGAATTTCTGCTTCTGCTCTCTACCTGCCCTGCAGTGGCTTTGCTCCTGCAGTCCCCTTCTTCCCATTGCACAGCCACAGCCC